GAGACTCACCAGGCGCGTTGTTGTTGCTGTCCAAAGCGGCCATCCTTTGCGATGAGGCAGGAGGGAAGGGATGCCAAAGGTTGCCCCCTTCTTCTCCTCCTCTTCCCCTTGGTTCTCTTCTTCTGCAGCCCCTCCAAGTGCTGCTCAATGCACTTCCCCTAGGAAACCCTAGGCAAGAAGGTGCCAGTGTAGTCTGAGGGAGACACAACTGGGAGATGCTCTTGGGAGTCAAGGGAGCGAGGCAAGTGCTTCCTCCGCTCAGCCCAAGCGATGCTGCTCTGGCTGCTTCTGCTGCTGCTGCCTCTGACTGCTCCTCTGCCGGGCTGCCTGCCTCCCTCCCTCTTTCCCTCCCTCTCTCTCTCCCTGCGGCTGCGCAGAGGCCGGCACGCGGCCCCGGAGCCTCCCCCATGTGACGCCCAGGGAGAGCCTCGTGCCCCAGTGACACACTTTTCTGGGGCTGCGGCGGGCCGAGCGGGAGGCACATTGCACCGGGCTTCTCCGCGGGGCGGGGGGCCGGGCGGCGCGCGCGGGGCTCCCAGGGAGGGGGGCCAGGAGGAGTTCCCCGGATGCTCAGGGTTCTTTCTCTCTCTCGCGCGCCCTCTCTCTCTCCCTCTCTCTTCGCCCCCTCCCCTCCCCATCTGCCCAAGGAGTGACTGTGCAATTCTGCTTCTGCCTTTCCTCTCACAGTATTATTATTCCTTTTTCTCTTATTGTTACTATAGTTACCCCCCTCTCTCATATTGCTATTATTATTCCTCTCATATTCTTTATAGTCATCCCCCTCTCATATTACTATTATTATTCCTCTCTTATTGCTACTATAGTTACTCCCCTCACTCTCATATTACCCCCTATTATATTACAATTATCCCCTTTCTCTCATATTACTTACTATACCTCTCTTAATTGCTACTATAGTTATCCCCCCTCTCTCTCATATTACTATTATTATACCTCTCATTGTTACTATTATCCCCCTCTTATATTACTATTATCCCCCTTTCTCCCATATTACTTACTATACCTCTCTCTTATTGTTACTATTATTCCCCTCTCTCTCATATTACTATAGAAGCAATAAGAGAGGTATAGTAAGTAATATGAGAGAGGAGGAATAATAGTAATGAGAGGTATAATAATAGTAATACCTCTCATTACTATTATCCCTCCTCTCTCATATTACTTACTATACCTCTCTTATTGCTTCTATAGTTATCCCCCTCTCTCTCATATTACTATACCTCCCTCTTATTACTATTATCCCCCCTCTCTCATGACTATTATTATACCTCTCTTATTGCTACTTTTATCTCCCCTCTCATATTACTATTATTATACCTCTCTTATTGTTACTATTACCCCCCTCATATATTACTATTATCCCCCCTCTCTCATATTACTATTATACCTCTCTTATTGTTAGTATTATCCCCCTCTTATATTACTATTACTCTCCTTTCTCCCATATTACTTACTATATCTCTCTTATTGTTATTATTACCCCCCTTCTCATATTACTATTATTCCTCTCTCTTATTGCTACTATAGTTATCCCCTCTCTCTCATATTACTATTATTATTCCTCTCTTATTGCTACTATAGTTATTTCCCTCTCTCTCATATTACTATTATCCTCCTCTCTCTCATATTACTTACTATACCTCTCTTTCTGTTACAATTATTCCCCCTTTCTCATATTACTATTATTCTTCTCTCTTATTACTTCTATAGTTACCCCCCATGTTACAATACCTCTCTCTTATTACTATTATCCCCCTCTCTCATATTACTATTATTATACCTCTCTCTTATTGTTACTATTACCCCCCTCTTATATTACAATTATCCCCTTTCTCTCATATTACTTACTACACCTCTCTCTTATTGCTACTATAGTTATTCCCCCTCTCTCATATTACTATTATTATACCTCTCTTATTACTATTATCCGCCTCTCTTATATTACTGTTATTATACCTCTATCTTGTTACTATTCCCCTCTCTCATATTACTATTATTTTACCTCTCTCTTATTGTTACTATAACCCCCTTCTTATATTACAATTGTCCCCTTTCTCATATTACTTGCTATACCTCTCTCTTATTGCTACTATAGTTATCCCCCCTCTCTCATATTACTATTATTATACCCCTCTGTTATTGTTACTATTACATCCCTCTTATATTACAATTATCCCCTTTCTCTCATATTACTTACTATACCTCTCTCTTATTGCTACTTATCCCCCTCTCTCATATTACTATTATTATACCTCTCATTGTTACTATTATCCCCTTTCTCCCATATTACTTACTATACCTCTCTCTTATGTTACTATTATTCCCCCTCTCTCATATTACTTACTATACCTCTCTCTTATTGCTTCGATAGTTATCCCCCCTCTCTCTCATATTACTGTACCTCTCTCTTATTACTATTATCCCCCTCTCTCATATTACTGTTATTATACATCTCTTATTGTTATTTTTATCTCCCCTCTCATATTACTATTATTATACCTCTCTCTTATTGTTACTATTACCCCCCCTCTTATATTACTATGATCCCCCTCTCTCATATTACTACTATTATACCTCTCATTGTTACTATTATCCCCCTCTTATATTACTATTATCCTCCTTTCTCCCATATTACTTACTATACCTCTCTTATTGTTACTATTATCCCCCTTTCTCATATTACTATTATTCCTCTCTCTTATTGCTACTACAGTTACCCCTCTCTCTCATATTACTATTATTATACCTCTCTCTCATTGTTACTATTATCCCCCTCTCTTACATTAATATTATTCCTCTCTTATTGCTACTATAGTTATCCCCTCTCTCTCATATTACTATTATTATACCTCTCATTACTATTATCCCTCCTCTCTCATATTACTTATTATACCTCTCTCTTATTGTGACTATTATCCCCACTCTCTTATATTACTTATTATACCTCTCTTATTACTATTATCCCCCTCTCTCATATTACTGTTATTATACCTCTCTTATTGTTATTTTTATCTCCCCTCTCATATTACTATTATTATACCTCTCTCTTATTGTTACTATTACCCCCCTCTTATATTACTATGATCCCCTCTCTCATATTACTACTATTATACCTCTCATTGTTACTATTATCCCCCTCTTATATTACTATTATCCTCCTTTCTCCCATATTACTTACTATACCTCTCTTATTGTTACTATTATCCCCCTTTCTCATATTACTATTATTCCTCTCTCTTATTGCTACTACAGTTACCCCTCTCTCTCATATTACTATTATTATACCTCTCTCTCATTGTTACTATTATCCCCCTCTCTTACATTAATATTATTCCTCTCTTATTGCTACTATAGTTATCCCCTCTCTCTCATATTACTATTATTATACCTCTCATTACTATTATCCCTCCTCTCTCATATTACTTATTATACCTCTCTCTTATTGTTACTATTATCCCCACTCTCTTATATTACTTATTATACCTCTCTCTTAATACTATTCCCTCTCTCTCATATTACTATTATTTTACCTCTCATATTACTGTTATACCTCCTCTCTCATATTACTTATTATACCTCTCATATTACTATTATCCCCCCTCTCATATATTACTTATTATACCTCTCTCTTAATACTATTATACCCCTCCCTCATATTACTATGATTATATCTCTCATATTACTATTATCCCTCCTCCCATATTGCTTTTTATACCTCTGTCTTATTGTTACTACTGTATTATCCCCCCCCCTTTCATATTACTATTATTCCTCTCTCTTATTGCTACTATAGTTATCCCCTCTCTCTCATATTACTATTATTATACCTATCTCTTACTGCTATTATCCCCCCTCTGTCATATTACTTACTATACCTCTCTCTTGTTGTTACTATTATCCCCCCTCTTACATTAATATTATTCCTCTCTCTTACTGCTACTATAGTTATCCTCCCCTCTCTCATATTACTATTATTATACCTCTTATATTACTATTATACCTCCTCTCTCATATTACTTATTATACCTCTCTTTTATTGTTACTATTATCCCCCTCTCTTATATTACTTATATTACTTATTATACTTATATTACTTATTATATTACTATAATTGTTCCTCTCTTTCATATATTATTATTACTCTCATACTATTATTCCTCTCTGTCATATTGCTATTATAATTATTCCACCCCCTCGCATATTAACCATTATTATTGTTCTTCTCTTTTTCTTTCTCATATCTATCATTCTTTCCCCCTCTCATATTATTATTCCTCTCTCTCTCTTATATTATTGTTATCCCTCTCTCTTATTCCGCTCTTTCCCTCATATTCTTTTCACTCTCATTCTTATTATTCCTCTCATATTATTATTACTCTGTTTCATATTACTGTTATTATTCCTCTAATATTCCTCTCTTGCTCTCATTATTCCTCTCTCGCTCTCTCATATTTCTATTATTATTATCTCTCATTATTATTATTATTATTATTATTATTTGAAACACAACAAGATGAGTCCACAACAGACAAGATCACTCTGCTGGCTGTTGTATTGGATCACACTTTGGACACTTCCCGTGTCTAGTTATTAGAGGGAGGGATGGAGGAATAATATATATTAGACTCCCTATCAAATTATTATTCTTTTATCTGATATTATTCGCCTCTCATGTTGTTGTTGTTGTTGTTATTCCCCTCCCCCAACTTCTTCCTTCATTCCTCTATTTTTTCTCTCTCCCCCTCATATTATTATTATTCCTCCATTTCATGTTATTATTCCTCTCTCGTATTATTTTATTATTCCCTTTCCCCCTCCTATCACATATTATTGTTATCTCTTCCCTCTCTTCCTCCTTCATTCCTTTCTCTCATATTATTCCCCTATCTCTTTCTCCCTCCCTCTCTCATATTATTATGGCATTATTCCTCACACTCCCTCTTTCTATCCAGTTTTCCCTGAGAGAGCAAAAGAGGTTACGAGGCTTAAGCACACATAAAACCACAGGCGAGTGCCGGGAAGGAGCTGCTGGGGGAGATAAATATCCCTGCAAAAA